TATACAATGAGAGTTTTTTTTTTACATTTTAAATTTACAATTTTGAATATCAAAATTGTTGTTTTGATAAATGAAAAATAAATTTGAATCTGGACTGTGACAAAAATATAACAACTCGATTGTGTTGGTTATCAAAGGAAAAACTTGATTTACAATTTATATTTGTAAACTTACTATTCATTTATTGATAGTCATTATTCTTAAAATCAAGCCAAAAATGTAAATAATCCGTTATGAAAATACCAAAAATTAACTCATAATTTTCTTCTTTCCCCCTTTGGATGATTTGCAACATATGACGTCAAAGACGAGGACCTGCGTTATATCTTTTGAAATATTGGTGCATATCGTGAGATTTAATTAATTTAATTCAATTAATTTAATTTTTAAAAAATGCACTTTATTTTGCTTACACATGCAGTTTACACTGCCTGAAGTTAATATAGTATTAATTTTTCTTTTCATTAGAGCCAAATTATGGAATGAGGAGAGTTCGACAATATCAACCTACTCTTAAATTCCAAGATGGCAAGGTATAAATATGTATTTATTTCTGACTGTTCATCTTTATGATTTTCATACTGTATGTTTATTTTTTAAACCTGTTTTCGTCTATTTTTATGTTTAAAAAATAATATTTAGTATATGCTGTATGCTGTATGTTCTTGCTAATGACCTTAATGAGTATGAAAAAAGTCTGTCAGTATTTGACTTCATGAGATTGTATTTGCTGACATGGTCATTGTATCGATCATAGAACTTACGAAATGATGACTTTAAACGAGACTGCTGATATTCCTGTTTCATCAACTTGTTTGTCAATAATTTACCTCGTTTTAGAAATTGTTCATACGTAGAGCATGCTCTTGTGTATCGAATCAACTGAGATATAAACCCCGCATGCAGGTGATAAGGGTATATTGCTGCACAAGTAAGGGAAGTTGACGACTGAAAAGTAAAAGTCATCACGTTTGTCATAAATTTTTGTTGTAAGATTACCATTAACGTCGTTTTCTAATAAAATATCCAAATATGAAACAGATGTGTCAGACTCTGTGGTATATATCTTTTATTTCAAGCTCAGCGGGATAAATCGTGTCGACATAAGAATGGAAATAACCATTGTTAATTTACAATTCGTCGTCGATATATCTAAATGTCGATTTGAAAGCCACAGCTAGTGTTTTCACGTAAAAGATTTTGAAGAAATTCTGCTTCATATGAATACAAAAATAGGTCTGCTAATAAAGGGCGCAATTGGTACCCATGGCAATTCCAATAGTTTGTTGGAAGACCTGGTCTCCAAAAACCACATAGATATTGTCAATCAGAAACTCGAGCATCTTTTTAATGTTGCACAGTACTCTTGAAGTTTCTCCTTCACTACTGTTAATATCTTAGTTAGGAGTAAAGAATGAGGATTGGTAGAACATTTACTGGAACCCGCTGTGTATCTTTGTTTGTAAGGATTTTTATGAAGTTTTGGAATCCAATATAGATATGGTAATTCAAATTCATTTTGGTTGTTGGGAATATTAAAAATATTCAAAACTGATATATGATTTCGAAGAATTTCCTCCTTAGAAAAGGAGCTATGGGTTTAAGTTGGATTACCACTTGTAGAATTAAATCTTAGTTCTCTAAATTACAATTTATATAATGAGCCTTACAAACAAAGACAATGTTGTTACCTGCTTTGTCAGCAGGGACCTGTTTCTGATTTTGATATATTATAATACTGCAAAATATACCTTGCAAAATCTGATCCACATTTAATTTATACTTTAAAATGGTATTCTTTTGTTTCTTTACTATGGCTATAACTTATCTAACTTAACTAATAAGGTTCCTTTCATTATTGTTTTTAAACCGTATTCTTTAAGTTGAAATTGCATTTGAATTTTCCTTTAATTTTAGTAAATCTGGTAGAAAGGAAAGGAATCTTTACGTTTAACGTAACAAGAACTAGTCTAAGAGTAGAAACTGAGCGTGTAGTGAATGGTAATCTTTCATACACACAAATAAAGATTAAAGATGCATTTAGGAAAATGCTGTTCAAAACTTTATTAATTGCAATTGAATACTTTTTAGCTCATCTGAGTCGAAGGCTCAGATGAGCTTTTCTGATCAAACAGCATACGGTGTCGGTCTGTCGTCTGTCGTGTTTCGTCTATCGTCTGTAAACTTTTCACATTTTCGAATTCTTCTCAAGAACCACTGGGCCAGCTAAATTTACCACAATCAAATCCTGGTTGGAAGACATAAAGTTTTTTCACAGGACGTACCACGCCCTTTTTCAAGGGAAGATGATTCAGAATTCGTGAAAATTTAGTGGTATCTTTTAAAAATCTTCCCAAAAACCACTGGGCAAGAAAAGATGAAACTTATGTGAAAGCTTCATTACATACTCTAGATTCAAATTTGTTCATATCATAACCCCCGGGGGTAAGGCGGGGCCACAAGAAGGGATCGAAGTTTCACCTAGGAATATATAGGAAATGTCTTTAAAAATCTTCTTCTCGAGATCAGCAAAGCCATGATTAGATAAATTATCATAGAAGTATCCCAGGTAGTGTAGATTCAAGTTTGTTCCAATCATGACCTCTGGGGGGTAGGGCAGGGCCACAAGAGGGGATCAAAGTTTACCATTGTAAAATATAGGAAGTATCCTTTAAAATCTTCTTCTCAATAATATCTAAGCCATTATTAGTCATATTAATAAAGAAGTATTCTCAGGTAGTGTAGAATCAAGTTTGTTCAAATCATGACCCCTGGGTGTTGGAGGCAGACACAAAAGGGGGCCAAAGTATGACATAGGAATATGTTAAAAAAAATAGAAAAAAAAAGAATACATAATAAAAAAAAAACTTTAAAAATGTTTGCTCAAGAAGAGCAAAGCTATGATTAGTAACACTGACATGGAAGCAACCTGAGGTAGTGTAAATTTAAATTTGTACCCCCCCCCCCAGAAAACCTTCCAATGCTGAACTGATTTCTGGTTTTTCCTAGCCAGTGTGCTCAGGTGATTGATGTAGCCCATGAGTTTCTTGTTATTTGAAGAATATTTTTAACAACCGAGTATATCTGTCAATACATTCTGATGTCGATTATGTGTAAATAATTTAATTTTGTTTGTATTCTAGCCTCTGATTGGTTAATATCCAAAAAGGAACACAAATTATTTCTGTATAACCTGGTTTGGTATGGCAACCCCCCCCCCCCCCCGACAACCAGCTGAATCATCTGTATCCATACAATCCTCTCATTTCCAGTCCTCGGGATTCATGGAAAATTCCAGATTTAATAAATGTACCTTTAACTTCAAACAATAATTCGATCTGACTATATGTAAACAAACAACTAGGCTGTTAGGCCTATGTATCAGTTTTTACCTCCTTTCGCTTCCCATCACTTCCGTTACTACGGTTGTATTATTGAGCGGCAAATTTGAACTAATAAAAAGCAACGAAATTTTACACCTATAGTTATTTAATGATTTTAAAATTAAATTATAAGAAATGACTCTAATTCTTAGCCAAGAATTAGTCATTCCTAAAATAAATTGAAAATAATTAAATTTTAAGGATTTCAAATTGTTTATTTTAAAATTATTTGAAAGGTTTGGAAAATTTGAATATATAGATCATCGATAACACTCAATATAGAGCACATGAATAGTTTTATCTAAAACAACATCCCCCTTTTTCTCTTTAGAATTAAACCTCTGAATTAATACTTGTTAAGAATACTTGAGTTTTTAGCCAAATAGTTGGGAAAGGCTTAATTTTTTTCCTCATAAATTGTGTATTGATTGATAAAATTTTTTACTCTTTCAATATCAGTAAGGTACAAAACAAATGAAAGTTTTACAGATAACCTGTACAAAATTTTTAATGTAAATAATTTTTATTTCTTGGTTAGAAGAATAAGTTTTAGTTTTAAAACCAGGCAGCTAGAGAAATGAGCAATTTGGTCGTAGATTCATTTTTCACTGACCACAAAGTGACACAAGGGACCTAAGTTCTAATTTTTTACTCTCGTTTAGACGTGTTTTGTTTACTCCTTTGACATATTTTGTTTGCTTATCATAATATAAAAATATATTTGATTTCAATTAGTTGAATTAAATGAAATAAATGTGATTTATTTCCTAAAACGTGTCTAATATGTAAAGATGAATTCAGTACCGGATTGTCGGAATATTTTGGTTAAATAAAACTTTATTTCAGTATGTCTCTAACTTAAATAAAGAGAAGATTTTCTGTGGATTTAATCTGACAGATCCTAACATAACCAAAATAGAGATGAACATCACAGACAGCAATGAGGAAAAAATTACTGTAAGATTTTAAATAATATCATTTTTATTAGTATACCCTTACTTTTTCCCTAGAATCAGATCTTAATGGTAATGCTAAAATCAAGATATTAAGTTAATAGTCAATATAGACGTAATGACTATTTTATTCAAAAGTGGAATTTTGCATGATTTACTTCTCGTTGAAATCTTTAATTTGGAAAACTGAAGTCGGTGTAATTTCTCGATAGTCGAAATATATCTTAGAGGCTGTATTTTTTTTCATTCAAGGACGCACATTTCTTAAAAAAAACACTGAATAAATTATTCTTACCAATGATTTCAGATTGAAACAGACCTTTCCAATAACGGTGACCTAAAATTGTTTAGGACATGCTTTCGGGCCCAGAAATTGACTACTAACGTGAATCTAACTATGTTTGAACTAGAAGGTAAGCCCCTCTGCAGATATACATGTAGTATAATAACGTCTTTTTAGTTCCATTGTCAAATATTGAGATTACTGTCCTATTTATGTAAAATTTATTTAAACTTGAAAAATGAAAATGCACATATATAGACCAAATTTTTGCAAAGGAAATGATAATTTTTTTTTTCTTTTTTGGCAAATAATGCACATATTTGTGAATATGAGATATATACATTGAGCAGTATTAATGTCGTATTTTCTCCTCTTCAGATGATGCGTTGTTAATGGTGGACCGTATCGCCGTTTTAGGATTTTATCGTACGTATGCTGAAAAAGTTTTATTAATTCACGTGAACTTCTTCATTCATATACGTAGTAAAGACATGCGTTATTCTCTTACAAAAATATACTATAGTAAACTATAGTTAAATATTGTGATAACTTTGACACTATGAAAACTATAAAACTATGAGAACTAACTTTAATGATAACTTTGACATTTTGATTTACTATAGTGAAAACTTTGAAAAACTGTAGTGATCACTATGAAAATTTAAATTTACTATGGTGATAACTATGAAAACTTTTATTTACTATATTGAAAGCTATGACATTATAGTGGTCACTGTGAAAACTTTGACTTACTATAATAACCACTATATGACATTTTAGTGATAACTTTGAAAACTTTGATTAACTGTAGTGATAACTTTGAAAACTTTGATTAACGGTAGTGATAACTTTAAAACTTTGATTTACTATAGTTAACTATAGTTTACGATAGAATTTTTATTAGGGTCAGATGACTTTCTATGTAATTTATGACAAATTCTCTAAGCCTTCCTTCTGTTACACGTGTTATATTTGTATAAATATATGTTCAATTGGTTTCTGGATTTATCCAAACAATTGTTAATATGAGAACTAGACATAGTTTGTCATTTATAGTTATATCTAAGCCTCAGCCTAGAAAATGATACTCATAAAAAACAACATAAAATTATAAAATTCGTCAATGTTTGTGAAATTTCATATAGATTACTAACGCCATAACCTAACGATTGTAACAATAATTTTATTTAATCCAGTAATCAAGGAGTTCTGAGCATAGTTTATTAACTTAGGTCGTTGTACTTGAAGTTATAAGCTTGCTCTTTAATTGTCTATGCCTTGATCAGACATTTTCTGATGATATGTTATTTCCCAAATATAGATAAACAGAATGTACATATTTCATTTTACAGACAAAGAAGAACCCAAAGTAAGCAAGTGGGAATTTCTAAATGACTACTCACCTGAGGAGGTGCTGAACATCATGAGACCAGTACTGCAAAAAACTAAGTCTGCAGGAGAGGTGGCGGTCAGGAACCTCTCGTCAAGTATCCGAAAGAAAGAGAGTGCAATCGACTACAGGAAGTCATCAAAAGGAATTGGGATTCTTGGAGTTTGTCTTCTTGTTTTTGTTTTCTTGATCATCTTCGTGTCAGATATCTTCATTATCAATGCTCACTTGAAAGTTATGTATCGGACTATCTTAAGACTGTTTAGACCATCGCCCAGAGTGCGCGCTTACTCACAAGTTGATTGATCGTTTCATGAGGAGGGATTTCTTTCATAATCGTTTTTAGACAACATTTAATAAATGAAGAGGAGTTGCTATATGAAATTGTAGTTAAAGCATTATAATTGATGCGATTCCATGCGATTTTCACAAAACTATTGAAAATTTCAAACGACAATTAAGTAATTTTTTTCCTTTGAATTTTTCATTTGCATTAGGGTTACACTTAAAATACAGTGTAGTCCTTTGCGTGCATTGTGATGAAGGAAAAATTCCTCACATACAATACACATGTATTATTTTATCTGTATCAAGAAAGTTATATTTTCCATTATGTAAGCAATGTCAGCTAATTGAACATATTCTGTAAACAATTACAGAGATCGTGCTACTTTTTACAAAACCCAGGTGTCTGAAGTTATAAAAAATGCTGATGTCATTGTATATTAAAATGTTCATATAAGTTCAAGTCATTAAATTGAAACTTTTTTCAAATAAAAAAAGAAATTCAAAATGACAAACAAACAGTAATGCAAATGTGTCCATGAAACTTTAAATCTGAACGATTACTTTAATAATTATGATTCTAGTTTAATATGATCATACACAAATCAATAGTCTTCTACATTTACTTCTCATATCTTAAGAGCGCTTTTCTCTTGTGTTAGTATTGATATGATTGTTGTTTTGTTTCTGATTCAGATTTTGAGTCATTTAAATCTATATTTGGTTTGTATTTCCAAATTTGTTGATGTGTTCTTAGCATTCAAATACTGTACAATGAACTTTCATCCACAATCAGTTAAACAAAGTAATTCTTCTTTTTCATAAATCTTGTAAAAATAATGAATATTTTGCTTGAGATGTTTTTTTCTTCACATCCCAATACATAAATGCTAAAGTGAACAACCAAATATTTTTACTGTGTTATCAATAATATTCATGGGGGTTTATTTTTCGCTGTTTTCTAGTATGGAGAGATCATCGCATTGATGTCCTCCACGAAATGTAAATTTTCAGATAAAGATCAACTCATCAAATCAAATCTCGACAAACCAAAGTTTTTTTTTCTTAAAACCATGAAAATTTGAAACAATGTAAAAGTGTGATTTGAGAGTAATTTCGACAACGAAATCAAGGGCAATTATCAAATTATAAAAGAAAATTTGGAACTTTTTTTAAAGAAAATGTTCACTTCAAAGATATGTTAGTTAAAGGTTTTAATACGATGTTTTTTTCTTACTCTGTTTTGGTTTAATGTATCTTAGAAAGAAAGTTATAAAGGCTTAACTTTAAAGCTTAACTGTGTTTTTGTTATGATGAACCAGATTTAGATGTTTGTCATTGGCAAGATCTAATTTCTCTTTATTTTTCTCTCTTATTTTATACTATTTCTAGTATAACTGTTAAAAAGCAATAATATTCTATTAGCTTTTAATGTGAAGAGTCCTACTGAATATGTACTTTAAGTTTCAACTTAATTAAACAGCACTCTTAAAGGACATTTGAAATTAATCTCTGCTCGAACAAATGCATATGTTATGTTATTAAAAAAACTAATTGGAATCTACCCTATTATCTTTCAAATTTACCTTAGAGGATACACATCTATGGAATTTATATTGCGTGAAATGCCTTTCAGTATTAACTGTTCAAGGTTTTTCTGGTACTTTTCAAAAGATAATTAGACTACTTCCTGATGGGATATCCGTAAGCTGCTTAAAGGTGTGCAATGATAGAAAAATCATTTTATTGAGCACACCAAAATTTATATTTGCCAAGGACATGAGGGAGCTGTGATCGATTTTATGTAATTTGCAAGTTGTTGTATAAATACCACAATTAAACTGTAGATATGGTGATCTGATCTCTCAGGTATGGATTTGGACTAAAACCACATCGAGGGAAACTAACACTTTTTTTAAAATTCATATTTTTTTGTATCAATGACTTTTTCTTAAGTTAATCAAAAAGTGCATATTGTATATGTTTTTATCTTACTGGCAACTGAAAAGTTTGAACTTCTCATGAATAATAAAAATACTAAAAATTAACAAATAATTGCTCACACTGCTATAAATCTGATGTTTTAAGAGGTCCATGCTTATTCTACTCCCTGGATGATTACTGTTCTGTATCTTCACGTATTGTGTTTTCAGTACACAATAAAACTCGCCCAAATAGATACACCACAGTGGCTATAGGTTAAAAACTATTATCACAATATTTCTTTAGCATCCATTCCAAATTTTGATGATAACTGATTATAAAGGCTTATTGCCATCTAACAGCTGAATTTTATGACAAATGGGATGACTTCCGAATCGGCTTTTCTAGCTTAAATTTCTTACATTTATCAATTAAGTAATATTCAACTATCGTCTTTGTATGGTGTTTAAGTCCCCTAACTTATTTGGTACGCTAGAGCAAGCTCTGAGTACGATCAACTTTTAAACAGAGGCAGGATACAGACAAATAAGATTATTTTATACGACTTAAAACAGTTTAAATCAAAGTTAGCATCTCGAAAATTTTTGAGTCATTATAATGACCTTGTTGGCAAAATCTTTTCACTTTTTCAAATTTTGTAAGTTTATACATTTTGTAAGTTTAGAATCTTACTAATTGTTATAAATTTACAAAAAAAATCCATGAAGAACATATTTTTTAAAATAAATACAGTATATAATACAATAGTATACTGGCGTTGAAGCACAGAAAAATTGTTCTGCCGAATTTAATATATGTTCTGATAAATAAGGTTATAGTTCCGACAGGTGTGTTCACCGTTCGGTAGAACACGAAATATGTGTGAACAAATAAGTTCTTTTTTCGGAAAAATTAAATACAATAAGAATGTAGATTAATTGGTTTTGAGTTTAGACAAATTAGATATTTGATTGGACAATTAGGCGTATTACATTTAACAGATTTGATGTTTCTTCTTTATACAAGATTTATCATTCCTCTGATAAAGGTGAGCATCCAGACAATTAAAGATGGTGCATTTATTAAGCTTATAAATTAAGTAAACTTCGGGGACGAGACATGGATATCTGCATAATCAAGTTTTACTTGCAGTTTAGGTTTAAATTGCTGTTTTTATTGACTCCATTCCTTTGCGGTTTCTAGGGTTTCATGAAAATTTTACTGCAGTTAGCTTATAATTGCTTTCATCTCCACTTTTGATTGTCATATACAATGCACGGGTAATTAATTAATTAATGCTTGTTCCTTCCGTTTTAATGAAAATGTAGTGAATGTATCTTAAGCATCACACAACTCTTTTTGTTCATGTTGTGAAATATTTTTGTTCTTTATCCGAAAATACATATTTTTACCCTATTAAAATCATTGACTTAAACACACATGCACTCAAACGCAACTTGATAAACATAGATATTAAAAACATTTCTCTCTTTATCTCTTCCATCTGGAATAGATAAAGGAATCTAAAAAAAATATTTAAAAACAACGACACATTTGTCAAATCAAAAATGGAAGCACTTCGACAAAATGCAGATTAAAGTTGGCAATTTATCATAAAAGATGGATAATTTTATTCGAAAGATTTTATGAGACAAACATATCATTCCTGTACCCTCATTTTACATATACCTCAGGTGAGCGTTTTATCTACAGGCCTTAAAATTCATAATTTTTTTTATTTATTCAATCAAAAAGAAAAATAATACAAGTATATCCCAGACAAAATCTAAAAGGGGTCATTATTCTACAGGTGTCATTTTTTTTAATTGCGTAGGGTATGCAGATTTTAAGGGTGGTGCCACTTTTTCTACACGCAAAAGGGTCATTTTTTGACGTCGAATAATGACTGGGGTCGTTTTTCGACGTAGAGAAATGTCCGGGAAACATTTTATATTAGTAATCGAAAAATGTCTCCCGGTCATTATTCTACTGGGGACATTATTCGTCTTTACACCGGAAAATATGCTCAAACTTCCAAGAAATATATTGACAATTAAAAAAATATTATAATGCAATATTATTGAGAAATATCTATGTTCAAATGTACAAGCAATATGAATTACTCTGTAAAATGCAAATATTTACAAAACGTCATTACTGATATGTTTATAATATAATCAGTGTATGACTATGCAATCAATCCGAGTAATACATTTACATTTCTGAAAACCTTTAAATTTTAATAAAAATAATCTTTTATCATTGACAAACACAAAAAGCATTTTAAATAATGTAAATCAATGCCGTTTGAAGATCCCACTGTACAAAATGATATATTATTAAAAAATTGATGGACTGAAATCCATTTTTCTCTCTCAAACATTTTAAGTGCATTTTTTAAAAATCCAATTTAAACGTTTGGTTATATAATATAGAAAACATTATCACAAATTTTATGTACTTGAAGAAATATTATGATAACAATCATTATTTCCTGGAGACTGAACATTTTTAAATTAACGCTTATAAAATCAATACCCGGTGGAACAAATAGTTAAGCACTTCGGCAGCAGGATCAGAAATTAGAAAAACAAAGGATTGTGAAGAAGGTGATGAAGATCATGAACATTATTGTAAAAAAAATGTTTTTATTTGTTTGTGTGTATATTATGAGTTCATGTTTAATTGGATCAGATGGAGCCTATTTTCCTAATTTTGGTGAGTATCTCTATCTTGAGTTTTTTTAATATCCTGATTTGTCAAAAATATCTTAGAAGAATGATGCTTCAGAGGTAAAAGTACAAAATGACAAAGTGACCTTTACGCCCACTTAAGTCATCATTTTCTTCTCTCCACGCCAACTTAAGTCATCATTTCCTTCTTGACAAATAAATATGTACATATGATGCTGATAAGTGAAACTAGAACTGTGCTCACAAAATTGACATAGATGATTTCAACATGTCTAATTTAGAGAATGTTGGGACTAAAGGTCAACATTTCAAATTATAACATTTTCTTCTTTTTGAGAATGTCAATATATTTCTGTCTTATGAAAATTTGTTCACCAAATATAGCACTGATATACTGTTAACCATTTATTATTTACGTCAACTTTTCCCGCGATTTTTCTGTTTCAGATCTTTTCAGGACCATTTATTTTCGCAACCAAGGAAACATTCT